CAATATCAGTACAGTGGAATAATTATAATAGTATTCTCATGCCATTAGATTGCTCCACGAAGACAAACCCTTACTTGAGTCTGTTCTGGCCTGTAGCTCTGGAAGGAAGCCCGTCTAACATAACCTGCAATGAAACATGAGGTTAGATGAGTCTAAACAAGAATTGTCTGTTTCCTTTAATTTTTTTCGAATGCTTTATTCCATTTCCTAATAAACTCATCTACCATCAGAACCCCCATTGTCACTCTACAGTCCTGGTCCAAAGGCTTCGAAAGGGAAGAGAGGCAGGTGTCTAGACAGACCTGCATGGCAATAAACAGGGGATATAGGTAAGGTGGTGTATCCAGGTGATTTTATAATTCTATCCCATAACAGGTCAGTCCCTGAGGCCTGACAGATGAGGGGGCCATGGAGAGACCAGTGATAGGATGGAGGTGAACAAAGTCCAGTAACTAGGGCATCTACTATTAGAACTTTTTAAATAGCTCTTAAATTTTCCTGGCCCTACTTTAAACCCCGTCACTTCTCGTTCTGACCTCCCTGAATCGTCGGAAGAAGAGGAACCGAGATGGCACAGGTCACTTGCTGGTGGATTCTCTGTAACCTGAAGTCTTTAAATGAAGAGGTGGGGATTTCAGTTACACAGCCAGAGGTAATGGGCCATTTATAGGAGTGGATGGGTGAGATTCCATAGCCTGCAATATACAAGAGGACAGGTTAGATCATCATGATGCTCCCTTCTGGCCTCCTGTGAAGTAATTAGTCCAGCAGCCTCCATTGGCTTTGCCCAGCTTTACCATCACCAGTTTGTATCTAACAATTGGGATTTATCATGGCAAAAATTCATGACAAATGATGACAGTTTGGCCTTCCACCAACATGTCCTTGTAATCATTTGGATGTATAAAAATCAGATAAAAAAAACCCTTCATACACAAAAGTATGGATGCCTCCGATATCGACAAAGTGCCCTCTGGGAAATCACAGTCCAAGGATAACTGTTGTGTGCAGTTTCAGTTATCACAGGGGACCACTCTAAAGCCTTCAGTGACAATGGGCTCTTTCCACTGACTATCAAGAATTTGCACCAATCTGTCCATGTTTCCCAAGTGTAAATATTCCTTTTGTTACTTCCTCAGAGAATCAAGCACTTGCAAATTTCATTACTCAAATAAGCTTTGGTGCTGTAGAAATAACATTAATTATGTGTAATTGCAAGAGATGTACTTTCAGTACCCCTTGGATCAAAACAAGATTTCTCCAACTCAAAACCCCCAGTACTCTAAGTATGGGAATTGTGTGTCTCCTCTCTATATTTCACCAGCAACTACACACTGCATCATAATAACTCTAACTAAGGAACCAATCCATGCAACAAACCTCGGTGCCAACTCTGCCTACATATATACACCAGCAACACCATCACAGGACCTAACCAGATCAGCCATACTGTCACTAGTTCATTCTCCTGCACATCTACTAACGTAATATATGCCATCACGTGCCAACAATGCCCCTCTGCTATATACATCGGTCAACCTGGACAGTCCCTACGTAAAAGAATCAATGGACACAAATCAGATATTTGTAGCCAGACAGAGCCCCCCCTCGTCACATCCATCTTATTTGCCCCTCTGAGGTACCTGTATACAGGGCAGAGAAGGAGCAATAAAATCAGCATAGTCTATGCTGGCTCATCTGATCCTGAGAAGCTGAAAACATAGATATGAGAAAAGAGCAATTAAGGCAATAAGCTGACCTCGAGGCTCCGAGAACTGCCCTGGCTGGCACCTATGTTGATACGATCACACACAGTCGTCCCTGGGAGAGGAATCTCCCACTGAGAAAAGAATGCCCAGTACTTCCAATTTAGTTCTCTCTCTTACAAGTGTAAATTAAGTTCACAACTCCCTTGTAAGAACTGGTGTCACAAAAGACAGACCAGCACCATTTGGCATCACAGATAAGAAAGAGAAATACGTGACCCCATGGCTACATCTAGACTGGCATGATTTTCCGGAAATGCTTTTAACGGAAAAGTTTTCTGTTAAAAGCATTTTCGGAACAGGGCATCTAGATTGGCACGGACACTTTTCCACAAAAGCACATTTTGCGAAAAATCGTCCGTGCCAATCTAGACGCGCTTTTCTGCAAAAAAGCCCCGATCACCATTTTCGCGATCGGGGCTTTTTTGTGGAAATCAAAGCTGAGCTGTCTACACTGGCCCTTTTGCGCAAAAGTTTTGCACAAAAGGACTTTTGCCCGAACGGGAGCAGCATAGTATTTCCGCAAAAAGAACTGATTTCTTACAGTAGGAAGTCAGTGCTTTTGCGGAAATTCAAGCGGCCAGTGTAGACAGCTGGCAAGTTTTTCCAGAAAAGCGTCTGATTTTCTGGAAAAACTGGCTAGTCTAGACACAGCCCATGGGTATAAAGATGGGTCCAGCAGCACACTCACTTTGAGTGTCAATCTACTATCTACCTGCTGGTCGAGTTAAGTGATTAACGTCCCGAGGTTCCATGGGGATGCCCACCTCGTATTCATCTTTCCTAGGAATTGAGGGACCGGCCCTGGCTTGACCCGCTGCAGTCAAGAGGCACAGAAGGGGGTAAAAATTGTACCTGGATGTGGTCCTTTGTCTTAAGTGTACACATAGACTTAGAGCTCTTTAAAGATTAAGCTGTACTTGATACCATTATTTCTATTTTCTATCTATTTTCTTTGTAACCATTTTTAAGATCTATATTTGCTAGCAGTTAAGAAATAGAGCAATAGCCATTGTAACCATATGCTTTTATAAGTCTTTT